ACGCACGCTGAACGTGCGATAATTATCAGGTTCTTGGTGCGTTCTCGCAAGAATAATTGTACCAGGACGGAATACGGACTACTCAGACAAGAATGGCGTAAACTGGAACGCAGTAATTAGCAGAAGTAACATGCATTCGTAAAATCCATCTTTATATGTATCACTCTTAAGGCTTTTGCTCAGAATGTATGAGAAGCTGACTGATGGAGAAAGCCTTCATTATTGTCGGTTGATTTCTCTCCTAGGTAAAATTTATTGGTTTTGCCCACTGACTCCATCTATAAACCTTCATATTTTTGGGATTACCATTCAGCTATACTCAGTAATTTCTATTTATTCGTTCGTCTTTTTCTGTAATTTGTGGCATGAAACTGATGGTGAACCGTTTAGTCACGCCGATGAGTACTGAATAGTACGCAACTTTGAGCTCAATTTTCAGGCGACAGGACGTTTCTCTCATCGGTGCGATGCCTCTGTAACGTACAAATGTTCCTTGTGGTTAACATAACTATCTACTTCTACATTTCGAGAAAAATACCCATACCACACTCCATAACAGAGACCCGTTTGTCACCCGTTGACCGATGACTGTCGATGGATCTCTCTTTCTAGTTCTTTTTAGTCTCCTGTATAATGACCCCAGAATTTTGGAGATCGAGGTCTCAGGTGTACTTGTTCTTATTATATTTATTAAGACGAATTTTTCCGCTTACGACCTCGTAATTACTGTACTGTGTGCTGTTACGCGATGGAAATCCAAATTTGTAACTACCCAAGCAGTGACTCATTTTCAGATTCTGAACGCCGAAATGTTTTATGTAATTTATTTTCCTCCCTGTATATGAAAGGGCCAGTTGGTCTCGCATCTAAAAGTATCAAGAGCTCAATTCTATTATATTTGACTGAACGGGTGAGTTTGCCGTCTGGTTATTTTGAAACATATGTGGCGTGCAAGTTGTTGGGAGAGTATCTTGTCCCAAAAATACGGGAGCTTGTGTAGAATTTTGAAAAAAAACACCGTTCCAAGCAATTGGCAGTATTAGTCATGCTTTGTCTTGTTCCCACTCAGCCTAATTGCTCATCACGGAGCTGATTTTCGGTGAGTCTTTGAGGGGCTTCGGTCCCGTTCGATGAATAGCGATGTAACTTAACCGTTTTATAGACAATTGAAGTCCAGATTCTTGGTAAACCGCCCTCTCTGACGAAGAGAAAAACTGGGTTTTATTCCGCATTGCTTTCAACAACGCTGTCAGAAGAGCTATCCCAAAAATATTGTGTTCGTGATCAAATCCGACTTATAGTTAATCGTTTCGTGGTGAAATCTCATTTCCGAGAACAAAACAAATTACCTAGAATAATAAGTACGCCGGTTCTTTGTAAATTATGAGCAGCATAAAACTTTGATAATGAACTACAGATGAAGGATTCGATGACCGTATTTTATCAATTTTCAGATGTGACACAGATTAAAAAGCACAACTGTGTGAAACCAAAAGCACTTGGGGTTTATTCGGCTTATCTTTTGGAACGTTAAAAGCCTACTGTTCTTTAATGCGAGTGCAGTAGTCCACTGCTCGTTGATTCGGAAGACGAGGAGCTTGTCGAAATGCCCCAGTAGAAGACAACCCCGTATGCTATTTGACGTTAACTTTGAATTCTGTTTGTCAGTAACTCAATCTTCGTAGGCGGGTGCTACATCAAATCTAAGAGCTAGGTTTCTGGAGCCAAGAGAATAACGATCGACATTGTAGTTTTAGTCTCTTTGTCGAGGAAGTGTACGAAATTGCTTCACTTGTGAAACCGGAAAGCAACTGCATGCGGTATGTTTCAAGTTTAAACTGCCACTTATTCAGGCCGATTTTTCGATATTTAACTGACAGTCAGCTTACAGTTTGCATTTCATTAAGTAGTCCATTTTAACCTCTAGTCAATGCAACACACAAAACGTAGCTTGCCTTCTGTCAATCCTAACAAGGTCGGTTGATTATGACGTCATTGTGGGCCGGGTTGCTGAGTAATTGCATTGTTTTTTTCAGACATGAGTGCTTAGTTGATGGAGCTTAATTGTTGCTAGCAGCTATACCGTTTGAATCCATGGAGGTGCAGATAAAATTCAAGTGATTTCACTTTTGCAAAATAAAATTTTTAAGTTATAGAATATTATTGAAGGGGCTGATATAACATTTTCACAGGATGATGAATTGAGACTCCATGAAAAAGGCAGTGGAGCAGTCATCCAGCCGAAACCAAGCGCAGATACACCTCTAAATCTAATGCAATATAATAATTTTGAACCCGTGAACATGCCCAAGTCATCAGAGACTAAAAGATGCTTGACTTCTGAACCGGTGGAAGCCCGACTACCTGTAAATGTTCATATGTTTTTCTCCACCCTAAAGTTATAGAACATTATTGAACGGGCTGATATAACATTTTCACAGGATGATGAATTGAGACTCCATGAAAAAGGCAGTGGAGCAGTCATCCAGCCGAAACCAAGCGCAGATACACCTCTAAATCTAATGCAATATAATAATTTTGAACCCGTGAACATGCCCAAGTCATCAGAGACTAAAAGATGCTTGACTTCTGAACCGGTGGAAGCCCGACTACCTGTAAATGTTCATATGTTTTTCTCCACACCTAATCACTAATGTACGGTTTACTTACAGCGGTGTAATGGTATTTCACGCAAACCCATGTAGTGCTCTGCTCTCCAAATGTGAAGTCCACTTTCAAAATCCAATCATTTTCCGTTCATCAACAAGGTGGAATTTTTTGGATTATTTTTACTGAACTGACTGGTAACTCGTAATTTCTAATTAACAAACAAACGTTTTGAAGCCGATGGCCTGCATTACTTCTTGAGAATCACGCGAACGTTTGTCTGACAATCCAAATTAGTTATGCTCCAAGGTCCCGGCAAAAACAAAGTTAAAACCTTCTGAATCATACTTTCCATATGTGTGATTGGCACACCCGATGTGCATTTTGTAAAACTGCTTGAGATACTACTAAGAGGATCATTCAAAAAAACAACCTGCATTTAGAACCAATAAATACCTTAAGCTAAGGTATAGTGCTGCATGTGGTAAGTTGGATTACTTCCGGCCAATCCGAAAGTGCCATGCTCAGAGTTCTCACATCATTGCTTTCCAGATTTGCACGCGTTTCATTATGGTTCAGTTGATTCTCTATCTTCTTCAGTTGTGCATTCAATTTGTGCGTGGAAAGTTCAATTTTTCTTTTCCTCAGTGAGACGTCCAAGGTCCAAGGTCTATTGTCCTTCTAACTGGCATGCTTGTGAAATGACCTTGTTCAACAGTTTATCACCAAGTCATTCCCAGTTTATTCTACTCTACCCACAGGGAACAATAAATAATCTAAGACTAACAGTGAAATGGAGAGCCCCGAAGCTTCTGGAAACCATCAATTTATTTTATGGTTCACTGGAGAGCGAACGAGTGAGGGTGTATTTTTTTAAACTGTGTGAAATTTCTTTCCGAAAGCAGTTGGTTTTTAAAAACTACTTAGTGTGAATATGTTTCATGCTTGGCTAGCAGACCGGATACGATTTGTGAAATCTGCCACATACTAAAAGAACTACATTATTTGTTAGTTTTTGTACATGATTACACTTACTTACCGATCCCATACCGATGAGACAAATGGCTTTTGAAGCTGTAAAATGCACTTCAGCAGTCACAAATGTCGGCCATAAACATTAGTATAAGGCGCGCTTGGTGATGCGAAACGATTTCTAGTTGATCAGTACCATGCCAAACCCACAGTTGTGAGTTTATACGAGCTATGAGTCTATAGGAGCAAGACCTTGGCTGCTCTGTCCCACGAAATAGGCCCAGTGAATCTTACGAGGCCAAAACCCTTTTAGATTCCGCGTTTGCATGATCGAACTATAAACCCGGAGTACAGAACAATAAAGTTTTATGAAATGCCAAGACTGAGAATGTGGAGGTCGTCTAAAATGTCTTCCGGAAACGTTGTAGAGTCAACCTGTCTGATCTCAGCAGTATTGACCACCGTCCCTCGTGTCAAATGACTATAGGAGTTCTTCGCGGACTCACTTCCATTTTCTCTAGTGCCCGTTGGTAAAAATGAAATGTTGACATCTAGCTAACTGCGGTTTATGCTGTGATTCCCCGGGGATTGCGCATATACATGATTTCAAAAATGCGAAAACACAAGAGTTAATAAATGAAAAGCAGTCAGTTGCACATCCAGCTGAATTAGCATTATTAGAGATTAGATAACTGGAAGTGACATATTCAGAAATTATTATTTCCTGTAGGCATTCACCCATTTTAAAAAGTAATTTATGGCAACTGCATACCTTGCAACCAGATGACGAACCACTTGAACAGTATAATTCTCGGCTGACTGACTTATTTAACCGAACTTCTACGCTCAACTAAAACCGTCTGAGAAGAGGGTAGTAGAAAACTGAGTCCCTCGCTGCATCTGTCAAGTGCAATCTATTACTGATACATTATTCTGACCTAGTCACCATCTGAGCTTTCCAGCACTTCTTGTCACCCGAACCTCTGATATTGATCTGGCTACTTTGGATAACACGGATTAAGATTTAATAATAGGTTTTGTGCAAATTCAGGTTTCATTCCGATGTTCAATCACAAAAACCAAAGGACAGTCGGTCTACCATCTTATTTATCAGGCCCAATTAGTTTTGTTTTAGAATATTCAGTGACAATCCATGATCTGCACTGGAGACCGCTAGCCCACATTTTATGTTTAGTCAAATGATTTTAATGTTCAACGCTGGATGTGTTTCAAGCGTCTTACATTTTCAAGGTAATCATAGCTAACTGGTCCTGGAACTCGTAGATATTATTCACCTGATTAATCATAGTGAATATCCGGGTAGAGTAGGCCATCTACAACACTTCAGGTCACCTTATGATCAACAAGACCAATTAAATACGGATATGATTGTCCGAATACATAAAACAACAAGTGCTCACCATTTCGTTTGCTTATCCTGATATCCTACTCATTATCAACTCGTTTTCCGTCGCGCGTATTTATCAGGAGTTCGATAGCCCTTAGCTTCGGAGATCCTGCTGTTCAATATTTCCCCAAGGGAAACGCGCAGCGCGTTCCAGTTGAACAGACAGGCCGCATAGCGACACACATTGGTACGACCATCCTTTTAGAGGTCGAGAATATGTCCACAAATAAAAGGTATTCAACGCGTGAACAGATGACTTTTGCCTAGCATCTAGCAACCTGCTGATCATTACTAAACTTGCATTTCATTGGTCTAAAATCTGAGTCTTGAAAGAGGTTTATACATACATGTTCGTTGTTCTATCTAGACATAAATTTTGAAATTCATTACACCGTCTTGGTTCGGTCAATAAACTCGCGAGAGACGGCCGTCATTATAAAGCAAGATAGCCTACTTCACTAACTTTAGTTGGCTTAACCGAACATTTAGATTTAATTGGTTTCAGAAGTTTTTTACACTTACTTGAAGTCCGTTATTAGCTAGCGTTTATTTCTTTTTGTTGTTTGTTTCCTACTTGGAGTTTCCTCGTGGAGTTATGTACACGTAAAATAAATCGTTATTTGCAATAATGAGGACTCGCCGACATAGCTGCTTACCACATCCTGTTTTACACAGTTTATTGACATAGAAACATCCACTGAAGATTAACAAGTGCATACTTTTGTCCTCTATTTTCAAATGAGAGCGATCATAGGTAAACAACCTGCGCGACTCACTCTTTCGATAGCTTTAGATTTCTAAAGAAGTCTCTGATACAAAACATGCAAAAACGGATATTTCGTAAGGACGTTTCAAGCACGACGCTAGTCGTTGTGCATTATACGTAACAAAATCATCAAATGGACATCAAACGTATATTACCACTCTTTTTATTGTACATTGTAGGAAGGAAAAATACACCTTAACCTTCCGGCCTAGCTTATCGTAGAACTCGATCTTCTATGGAGCAAAATGTGCCACTCAAAGGCGTCTCATGTGCCAGTTGGTATGATATTCAAGACAGTATATTTTATTTTCATGAAGGAGGTTGCTAAAAACACTGGAAGGCCCAAGCGTCAAGGTACATCCAATGTGGGTTCAAGTAGGACATGAGGTCGACGGAACCTCCGGGACTGATCAGTCCCAAGAATGGCGAAACTGGTCGTGGGTTTCCAGCAACTGTGTGAGAAGTTTTCTTCGTGAAATTAAGTGAAGATGATTCCTACAGATTCCAAAAAATGACGGCTATTTAACCGATAGAAGCCGAAGAGTATACCTCTTATTCCGGAGGAGAGTTGGCTGTCCAAAATGAGCTATTAGTCCGCATAACTTCATTATTACTTATCCAATTATTAAACTTGAAATGGCTGACTTGGATTTGATGATGTTGGGTATAGTCAGATGATTTCCACGACACGTCCCCATGACGTGTTGGAACTAATAAGCACTGTGAGTTAGGATGTTGTGGATGGCACACAGACAAATGCTCTTCCTGGTCTTGTAAATTCGATCAGAGAAGTGCCGAGTTACCAAGTTTCACGCTGTCCACAATTTTGTTGATTATCCGTAGTTACTTACCTGGCTTGCAAACTTTGATACATGGCGGTTGAAGACGTGTAAACTCGCAGAGTCCAAAGGAAGCTATGAGAATAGGAAAAAATCACTATCCCCTAATAGAAATAAACTTCGCTGACCAAACTTCTGCTCACTTATTCACTGTTTTTCCTGCGTGCCGTGTCTGCTCAAACTAAATGCTACGAAAATCCGTGCTCATTGATCTAATGCGTTCAGAGAGGCTAAAGAATGGTTTATTTGTTGAAAGTATACTGAAACTGTGTGAGTCTGGCACACTACATACTACTGTTTATTTATCGGCAACTTTGATGCAAGCCAAATCTGGAAATTTAAACCTGAGTCGTCTAGACGCCATGGCAGACAAAAAGCAACAAGCATATGACACACCAGATACACAAATTTCAACTGTGATCAAACTAACTTGGGTAAAAGGCATCTAACATAAACTGGTCTAAGTGGGGGTGTGCTTTCCACAAGTAGGTGTACCTCCGTTACTATTGTTCAGAAGATACGCATTCACGTAGTTTGTCTCCGGGTTTTTTGCTAATTCATATTAATGCCACGTTTATACCTCTGTTGACGTAGGGCTGCTTATGTTTGGAGTTTTTAGCCTGTCGATTCTGCATCCTACCGTCTTTATCTACCATCGGATGCCGCCTGAGAGACGACGCTACGAAAGCCCATTGTGAGCTTATCGCATGTCTATCCACCTCCTCCATGCTTTGTTTTCATCATTCAAACTTTTCGCGCGCCCACCCACACCATTGAGTACTAGGCCACACATAAAAATTTCGACATCACTGTCCTTCAGCGGGACAGCAAACAAGCTGTGATTCTGGGAAACAAGAGATAGCATCTTTAGTCCGGTGAATTGGGACCGCATGTGTGGATATGTTCGATAATTTGTCATCCAATAAAGGTCGGTTGGCCAAGGGTAGGCCTTTCACATACTCCGAGGGAGCGAAAGAGACAAATGACCACCATTCTTAAATAACCGGTATTTAGTAGTACGGTCTGAACATAGTGTAATGGTGGATACTACTGATGGGGCATGCGAGTGGTATGTTTCCCCGTAAATCCGCTTGGCATCTCTTGCGAAGTGAGATCTGTTACGGAATTTGTGGAGTCGCTTTGTAGCATTTGCCTGCAGTTGAGTAATGGTCAATGAATATCCAGGAAAGTTCGGGAAGACGCGTTCAAGGAGAAGGTGGATATTCACTTTTTGTAAACAAGATGCATATGCGAGATTTGCTTCCCTGTCCAGTATTCTGTAACTCTTCAGTTAGCGTTCTTCAATAAACAACTCCGCAGCAAAAACCTTTTTCCTTTCAACGGTAGGCTTATTAATTTCACTACAGTTTCTGAACGTCTAAGCAAGTAGTACAGTGTAGAAGTGCAGTACCCTATCCGGAACTGATGCTTAAACTTAGCATGTAAATTTCCGCGAATCGTAAAATACTCACTTGTACGGAAATAATATCCCAAGACATTGACAGGTTTCTCCGTTTGGCAAAACATTCTCATTACGAGTATGGAAAAAATTTTCCTGCACATTGATGTCAGATCTACTTTCATAGTCGCGGTTACTCTCTGTCCTCTGGCTGACGTCATTTAACCAACACATCCCCTCTTTTGCTACCCGGGACCATCTCCCACGAAATTACAACATTCAACTGCCATCGTATTTAGTGCATACTTTTTATTCGTCATCGATTGCTGTGGCCTGAAACAAACACGGATCTGACTTTCTGTCTCCTTATATTTTCTATCATGCATGTACTGCTTTCCTACTGCTGTCGCAGATCAGAACAACCAATAATCCAAGAACCGACAGAAGTAGACACTTTGCATGAGACTAAACCGTGTTTGTTAACTATTTGGCTAAAGACATCCACCGTTTTTTGTATGTCATAATAGCCATCAAAGTAACGTTGGACACAGTATGACCAATATGTCAGCAAACATTGTTTCCAATGGAAGATTCACTGATTATCTAAACAGTCCAATAACTAGAGTAGCGGCTTGGAAAGATAAGTACCTGAAATTCACATTAAGTTATAAAAATTCCCATGAATTTTGAGGACCTGTTAAATATAACATTTGAAAGAAGGCGAAATGTCGCTTTTATTTTACCTAATGGTAACGTTGGTGACGAGTGAGCAGTCTACGAATTTTCCCATGACATATACAAGCTAACAGTTGTTTTATTATTGTTTTTTTCTCTGCAGCTCATCACATTTACAAAATAAGCTCAAATAGTTTTTGTGATGCTGAGTGATCTAAATTAGTGAAGGAAGGCCAATTGTTACTTGATTAGAGCGGCAGGGAAAATAAGTTGTTAGAAAAACAGGTGAGTCTGAAGTGTTGCGGACAAAAAACGGTGCCATGGCTCTTTAATCTTAAAATGCATGAGAGTCGAGCACAGAATAAACACTTCTGTGTTTCGCTAACTTGGTTCCATTTAGTCAATATGTTCCCGGGGACTTCGCCTACTTGATACGCCTCAATCAGGACGAAACCGGTCGTGTGCTGTCAACGAAGTTTCAGCAGTATTGCAATACGAATACGCATGTATCGCGATATCTTGAATATCGTAGCGAATGAAATATGAGGCGGCTGGTGTGACACATTCAATTGCCTGGAAACATCACAAACGAGCGATTCAGCTGTGTTCCGGGTGAGTCTCTCGAAAATTGAGTGTATTCGCTGACACCTGTATTCCCTTTTGAATCCATCCGAAGTTTGTTTCCAAAATGATTAGAAAGTAAGCGGTAGTAAGCTGTAATGTGCCCTTCAACGTTCGGATTTGATCGCCTACTTAGCAGGGTTTGAATGATAGATTGTCGCTCCCATAGGTGAACGTCTGCAAATGCATACGACGTGCAGTGCAGTGGGATCGGTGGGACTTTTATTCACCCCGATACATTTTTCGTACTGACCCCAACCGCATGTTTAAACCCTTCCTCCATGGAACACAGCTGAGTGCTATAAAGAGCAAAAATCGTGGGAAATGATTGGGGAAGGTAACTGTAAATCATTGTCTTCGACATGAATTTTCAATCTCTTATCAAACTTCGCATTCGTTAAAAGCTGTTTCTTCCAGTCATAAACAGGTCGTTGCAACCAATAAGGGAGATAACTCTTTCGGTTCACCTATGCAAAAGATACAGCATACCTAACAGTATATAAGTAGTTTCTGCGACACATTACCATTTCGGCTACTTTATATAACGTGTACAATTAAGTTTCCAATTTTTGTAGCCAGAAGGTCCGTGTTGAAACGTTTAATTTTGACAGATTGATCCTCCGATACAGGTATACCCATATCAGACAGCCATCGGTTTCTGACACCGAAATGTAGCAATTCTACCGGCAAATCTCTACCCCAGGCTATACATTACAAACATCAGTCTTTAGTACTTGCAGCTGTGCCACAGCGTTTGCCAGAATAATCACTTCTCAA